TCCCATCACCCTTTGGAGCACAAGTTAGGAGTCATCAGGACTCTGTATCACAGAGCAGACAGCGTCCCCACTAGCTCAGGAGCCAGGCAGAAGGAGAAATCCCACACAAGACAGGCTCTAGAGCAATGTGGATATCCTAACTGGGCCTTCCTGAAAGAAGAAACCCAAACAGGACTCCAGTCAGCCATCAGGTGAAAAGGAGGAACCCAGACCCAGACCAGTGGTCATTCCGTATGTTGAGGGAGTATCAGAGAAACTGAGACATTTATTTTCTAAACACAACGTCCCAGTGGCTTTTAAACCCCAAAATACATTACGGCAAAGACTGGTTCATCCCAAAGATCCAGTCCCTCGGCACAAACAGAGCAATGTTGTGTATGCTGTTCAGTGTCAGGAGGGTTGTGATCAGTCTTACATCGGGGAAACTAACCAGCCACTGGCCAAAAGGATGGACCAGCACAGAAGATCAACACCATCAGGCCAGAATTCTGCGGTCTACACTCATCTCCAGGCCAGAGGTCACTCTTTCAGGGATGAAGATGTTCACATCCTGGACAGAGAGGAACGATGGTTTGAGAGAGGAGTAAAGGAGGCCATCTTTGTGAAAAGAAACCGTCCATCATTAAACAGGGGTGGAGGCCTCCGGGTTCAACTGTCCCCCTCTTACAATGCTGTTATTGCTAGTATCACTCAGCCCTCTGTGAACAGTAAACAGCCATCAGGTGCTAATGATCCATTGTTAGGCTGATGGTCCTTCTTGACCATGTGATCAGCTGGTTCTGGTTGTCAGCAGCAAACTGGTTGATCCACTCTGAGAAGGTGCTATTTAAGAGACTGAGCTGAATACAGCACCTCAGACTGAGGAAGTCTCTTGGATGAGAGACGAAACATTTCTATATTTTTTTGCTTTGTTTTGTTTTTTGTTTTTTTGGATGTCCAGAGGACCAGATTGAACTTTTTTGGATTTTTCTACCTGGATTATTGAGCATGCATCAGGATAGTTTAGGATTAAGTTGTTTTGATTCATGCTGAGGTCAAACCCTTCAGGTGTCCAGTTTATATGTCTGTGAAAAACATTTATGTGTTTGCTGAAGACCTGAATGGACTGGAGTCACAGGGAGGAACATTTTCTCCTCCTCAGGTCTCCATTAGTTTAACCCTCACAGGACTTCAGATCTGAACACGACTTTAATTCATGTGAGAAACATCCTGGAACAGAACTAATGTTCTGTATTTAGACCCGACTCTGTTGTTCTGTTTGGTCATCTGGCTGAAAGGTTGCGGCTGAGGTCAACCGTGAGCTCACCTGTCATGTTGCAAAACACCTGCAGGGGCCCCAGGGGACTGCTCCCATCTGGATCGATGAAGTAGAAGCCCGAGGAGCCACCACTCAGTCTGTAGGCCTCACAGGACGCCTCAAAGATGGCTGCAAGAAGCAGAAGAGATGGGGAATGGGTTACTGCAGTCTCACCTGGACGAGTCAGGAACACTCAAGGTTCACAATTCTTTATTGTCATTCGCATCGCATGTTGTACATGAGGTGGAATGAAATTGTCTACACAGGGTCCCAGTTACAGCCAACAACAGCAAAAATATAAATTGTACAATAAACAGTAATAAGGGTCTAAGATATAAATTAAGAAATCTGCTAATAGTGCAAAAACAATATGCCAAACAAAAGCAGCGCGAACATGAGTCTGTGTGTGTAGATGAACACGAAGGAATAGAGGAGTACTTTCAGGAGGATCAATCCTCACAAGGCAACTGGCCCGGACAACATCCCAGGGAAAGTGTTGAAAGACTGTGCTGATCAGCTCTGCGAGGTGCTGGCTGACATCCTTAACTCCTCCCTCACCCTGGCAACAGCCATAGGTTCAAGGTTCAGGTGTTCAGGTTCTCCTGATTGTGGTGAGGTTAATGTTCTCAGGTTCTTTTGATGGTGATTTGGTTCGGGTTCTCAAGTTGTCCTGTTGGTGGTGAGGTTCAGTTTCCCAGTATCTCCTGATGGTGATGAGGTTCAGGTCATCTTGAATGTGGGAGGTTCAGGTTCTCGTGTTCTGATTCAGTTCTGGTGTGAGGGCAGAAAAGTTTGACAGCAGGACTGTTTTAATGCAGATGCTGCTCCCATGGCCATGTTTCCTCCAGGTGTGGCTGCCTACAAACATCAGCAGTCTGTGGAGGAACCTGTAGGGGGGTTGGGGGGGGGGGGGGGGGGGG